ATTTACACGTTTATTGTCAAAAACAATTCAAAGGTAGCTAAATTTTGGTGAAGGTGCCAGACACGATACGAAATCAAATTCTCGCGAAACTTTGAAAATCGGAAATTTGTATTAGGAGAGCATAAGATGCTTGGGAAATCAGATAATTTGGCGGGCAAATTTTAGTGTTATTATTATTGCCGCTTAGTAGCTATCTGATAGACATCTGTAATATAGTTGAAACCTGTAAACTAGATGCAATAATATTTAACTATGGACCGTAAGATGTCCATCCAGGTACCTAAGATACGAAGGTCATACTATAATTCTTTAAGTGTAATATAAGGGATAATCGGAAAGTTTTAACAGAAAATTCTCAAAATTAATTTACCGTGTTGATTTTCCGTATAAATGGGTATTTATGGTGTTTTTTACGTTTTCTCTGTTAAAATTCACCCACGTATATGAACCTAAATCGAACTTTTGTTGAAAATTTTTGCGTAATTCATCAATAAATCACATCTAATATCAAAGATTATTCAATACATGACCTAAATACGCTCTCGTTAACTCTATTTTTGCAAAATAATAGAAATTTATTGCTCGAATTGCGTTTTTTATGTATAAGAATTAAATTTAACTTTTGCTGAAAATTTTTGCTGTTATAGACTTTGTCCAAAACTACATGAGAGAGACATTTTTGCTTCAGGGAATACTTCCAATTTTTGATTACTTATTGATAATGAGAAAAAAAGAAAGATACAACTAATAAAAAACAAAATGTTATTATATTCCATAAAGTACAAGAAAATCACACAGATGATATTATATATTAACAATGATATGGCTGAGTTCATATAATAATAAAAACAGTACATTACTTTTTAAAACAAATTAAATTTTTTCTTCTTCTCTTTTTTTGATGATGGTAAAGAATTCGAACTCAATTCTGACTCATCAATATCTTTATCAGCGTCAACTTTAGGAGACTTGCTTAGCTTCAGTTTTTTCTTAATTTTTTGTTTCCACTGCTTTTTATTGTCTTCTACATTTAACGGTACAACTTCGTCTTTTACTTTGCTGGTATACAGAGTCATTTGATTTGTTATGCTTGTATCTTCCTCGGCTTCTCTTATTCGATCCATTTCTAAACATTCAACTATTTCATTTCGTCTTTCTACTACTTCTAACAACCTGTTGATAAGTTCTTCCTCCTTCTTTGCTTTATCACTGTCTGTCTGATTCATTTCTGGTTTCAACATTAAGCATCGTATCTGGTACTCCAGATCTGCATATTCTTCTTCTAGTCTTTGTTGTCTTCGTCTGAAATAAATAAGATATTACGTCATTAATAGCAAATACACACTAGCCTGATTTAATAACAAAATAAAAAACAATACGTACAAATACATTAATTCAGCTTGCTTTCTAAACAACTCGTTTTTCTCGTTGACCAATTCAAACAATTGCAAAATCAACTCCTCCACTTCAGGAGACATGCTACCTTCGGGATCACTGTTTGGCCCTTCACATTTTTCTCGAATGATCTGTTCCAATCGCACCCCTTGTCTTTCAAGTCCTTGCTGTTGAATTTCGATGAAATCCAGCTCCCTTCTAATTTCTGCTACAGGTAAAGGCTTAATTTGCCTTCGTTGAGGTATAGGGCGAGCAGGTGCTGGACCTTTTCGCCTTTTCCATTTCCCATGGGTACTTTTGTCCGTAATGGTTGGCGTGTTTGTGGAAGCTAGAAAAGTTATGTCTGCATATAATTTACGAATATTTATTTCAACTTTTAATATTTAAAATTTAACACCACACTTACTATCGTATATTTGACTTTGTCGGTTTCTATTTTCCTTGTCTTTATTTGTCTTTTCAGTCTCATAATCACCTATACGTATTTCTGGAGGAGGAAGGTGATAATCTTTTTCAGATAATGGAGAAACGTTAGATTCAAAATACTCTGAAACTTTACTATGACTGAAAGGTGTTGAGGATGATGCCGTTGGGGGAAGTGGTGCTTTCTTGGTTTTTCGAGAGCGGGGCGTCATTCGAGGAGAGTGGGGCTAATATAACAAACCAAGAATGAAAATTAAATTTGAAAAATTTATTAATGGAGGTACGTATGTTTACTACTTTTCAATTACTATCACAGTGTCACCGTCCATGAAGCTGGACCAGTAAACAACAAATTTATTTACAAATGTATAGCTAAGATTTTGCATCAACAATTTCCCCAATTAGAGAAAGGTCTGATCATAATACTTTTAAATTAATTTTTAAATACTAGCCACAGATACATACCGCACTTGGGGTAGGACTTGAAGTAATGGAACTATGATCGGAGTCGTTGAAAGAGCCTGGTGGTGGTGGTGCGATCTTTTTCTTCCTCATGGTGACGAAGCTAGACGCAATACTGGACATAGAACCATACAAATCTAAACTTTCTCCATTAACATCAAGAGATGAAAGTGTCGGTTGTAAATTTCTTGACGATGTCCTGGTAACACAATACTTTAGCATTTTTTTTTTTTAATCAACCTTTTAGTGTTCGCGTTCATAAGTAAACTAACTAATGGAAATGCATGCCACATCGCATACTTAATAGGGTATCCGCTAAGGACATTCCACCCACGAAATACGTTATGAAAGAAAATATACAGTTGTTACTAGTAACAAAAATATTAAGGAGTCAATGAATAACTCATTTCATGTGGTGTTGTTTAATAAACTGCTACAGTATGTTGAACCAAAATGCAGTTTTTAAGTTGAAACTGAATCAAATAAAAACATTTTTTTTTCCAGGTGTAAAAGTGACTAGTTACTTTTGCAAAAAATTTAGTTGCGCATAATAATCAGTATCATATCACTATCAAACTACTTACTTCATACACCTAGGTTTTGGAACTGGTTTCTGAACATCTGCATCATCTTCAGATTCTTCCTCGTCACTCAAAAATGGATTAAGATTTATTTTAGGTGCTGACCCTTTCGAGTCTTCTGCTTCATGGACAATTTTAAGAGTGTTTATGGTTTTTTCAGCAACTTCTTCTGTATTTTCGTCATCATTTCCATTATCCTCGAACGGATTTTCGCTGATGCGTTTTACATAAATGCCAGACAGTTGCTCTGGAACGTTAGAGATTCTCTGTTTGTGAAAAACTTCCGGTGGAATTATTTTTTTTCGAACAAGTGGTTTAGGTGGTGATATTTCTTCTTTTATCTTGCTTTTGTGAACAAATTCATTGCCATCATCATCATCATCATTGTCGGTGTTGAAAGGATTCAAAGCATCATTCTCATCATCACTTCCAAACGGATTGAGATCTTTTGGATAATCTTCAGGTTCTTTTCTTATACTAGAGCTATCAATACAATCAGATATAACTATTACTGAATCATCTTTGCTACTAAGCGTAATAACCGATGAATCGTTTGGCCCCTTCAAATCAGTTGAAGTCTCGATACTAACAGAAGCATCTTCAGTATTAATTACATCTTTAACGTTAAAGTAATCTGCGTTGATAATACTATTATTGTCATCAATATTAGACGCATTGCTTAGAGAAAGATCATCTGAGAATATTGTGGAATGATTTTTCTCGTTATCTTCTACCGCTAAATTACCGCTATCTTCATTATCAGATCCTAAATTATTACTTTTTCTTATATCTAAAGGTGATGCAACTTTTTGTGTTTCTTCAGTTATTGTGCTTGTCATTTCTAATTTCTGGTCGGGTTGTGACTCAATAGGTTTCTCTTTATTAAAACCGTTTGGAACAGTTTTTTCTGGAGATTTTGCAGAGAGCTTTTTTAGTTTTTCTGTGCTATTGGACCCAGTAAGTGAAGTATTAGATTCAAATAATTGCATTCGAGCTTTAACAAGTGAAGTATTCGGTTCGTTTTCTTTGGTAACAGTAACTTTGTCGGTATCCAGCTGAATTTCGGCAGCTTTCTGCTGGTCCTTTTCATCATCATTATAAACTATATTCCTACTATTATTTACAGTTAAATCTATGGACGCGTGTGGGAAACCACTGTCATAAGACTCCAATTGTTGTGAAGCACTATTTATAAGAGTCTGCTCACTAGGAAAGTTAGACATGTTTTCACTTATTTTATGACTTGTACCGATGTCGTACGTTGTTAAAATATCAGGAGGTTGACTTTTTGGTAAATCGGGGAACTTCTCTTCTTCCATACTTTGATTATTTTCGCTTTCTATTTGACTGTTCATAAAAAATGACATTGCTTTTGAGAACTGCAAATTTTGTTCACTACCAGAATTGGAATTGCATTCTGGAGCGTTTTCAACACGGATATTAGGTGCATCGTGTTCATCTTGTTTTTTTAAATTTGCCGACTTTTCTTCATCACTTAAAGAACGAGTTAAAACATCCGGTTTTTGATCGACTACTTCCGGATCGGTATTCTTTGGTTCTTCAACTTCTTCATCGGGACAAGTCTCACAACAAAACTGGTCAGATTCAGTCTCATAATAGTTGGCTAAAGTCAATTGGCTGTTGCAACGGGCACAACGAAAACATGTGCGATGAAACAGAAGTTTCCCAACACTGAGTCTTTCTGCTATGAATACTGGTAAACCGCATTTTGCACAAGGATCCCTACGAACTACGCCAAATTTGGTTTTCGGCACCTGGAAATCACGAAATTCGTATAATTTTCACAGTGAACTGATTAGGTCTCTTTAAGTAATAAATATTTACATACTACTATGGTTTTTAAAAATGGAGATGGGTCGTTTAACGTGCTTAGTTTCAACTCAATTTGATGAACCCACGAACGCGAAGTAGTTGAAAAGTCAGTATCATTATAATACATTTTGATAGAAAATGCAAATATCTTTAAAATAAAGAACTTATTAAAGGAATTGACTGATAAAAGAAATAAAACAAAAGAAATTCTTAAAAACAGTACAGGAAATTTAAAAACTTACAAGACTTCAGTTTTGTAAAACTTTTGCAATAATTACTCAATATGAGTTGTCAACATGACAAATGGTTTCAATTTATTTTGAGTAAAAATTGAGTTCAATTGAAATTTAAAGTTTTTGAGATTACTATTATTGGGAACAATTATTATTTTCTGTTTTAGATATTGGTAAAACATAAATCAGTTGACTAATATTTCTGTTTACTTACCTACATAAATCTGAAAATACATTTTTAAAACATAAGACTAAAAGAGGTTGGTATAACTATAATGTATATGATATGAATAAAAAGCAATCTAACGGAAATGAAAGCAATCTATATTCTATAGCACCTTTTAAAGCAAAACGTTGAGAAGAATTAGATTTTAGATTTTTAGATTTACATTTGAATTTCTTTTCCAACGAAGAAAACTTTCATAAAATACATATTTTGGAAAGTATTAGTAAGAAATGCAGAGTAGTAAAATCAATAGAGAAATTTACCTTTAGCAGAAAATTTCAGGCTTGTATTGTCCCATTATGTCCATGCTTTCCTCCTATAGTAAAATAAACAGCGTGGGTTAGGGCTCGGTATAAAGCATAATTATTCTTTAGCCACTTTAAGAATAAGTCGATTTTCGAAATGACAATATATAGTATCAGAAAACTATGTACTAAATAATTTATGTGCAATGTGCTGCTCTACCAAAAACGTAACAAAAAACACTTAAGGATGTTTGGGAGGTACAATCGGAGACAAGAGTATATAAAATTAGAAATTCGTGATTAATTAGGTTTTGCAGCATATCATGAGGTACATAAACACCATCTATACTAAAAGAAAAGTATACGGTTTGAGAGAAAATTTGGAATTTAACCAAAAACTTTGAATAAAATAAGAAATAACGAATATGGAAAATTTATAACTGACTTTTGGCAGTGAATATGCCCTGATTTCAACTTCCAAACAAAAAAATATTTCGTTTCAATCTTTATTAATAATGAGAGTAAAACTTTTTAATATGTTTAAATA